GCGCGGCGGGGGGGGGCGGGGGATGAGGGGGAACCTGCCCCTCCCCCCACTGTAGCTAACTGGGTTACTGCTGGCCATGGGGAGACTGAATGCTAGCTGGAGCCTGGGACACAGGAGCATTGCACAATAGTCAACCCAGCAAGTAAAGAACCCATTATTTTGCATTATTTGCAAAAAGAGGAATGTGGGGTCTGTGTCAAGGGCTGGGTTCCTCTTGCCTAGCAGGACCTGAAAGGGGTGTGTGTGTGGAGATGGTACACTCTTGGCTGTAATCGAAATCAAGGGGAGCTGCAGTGCAGAATTGGTCTGGATACATTGTTTCAACTAATGTTCTAGTCAGCCCCTGTGCACAAGAAATTAGCACGGAGGCAGAGCTCCGCAGAAGAGCAGTTTCCAAAAGACTGCTGGCTGCGAAAATGCTGAGGCTGCTCTTTGGATTCTGTATTCCCGGCAATCTGTTTGCGTCTCAGTTTAATTAGCTGTAGTGCAGGAGCTCCAGCAGGAAAGGAATCCAGCTGTGCCAGTGTCCTGCTTTGCTCGGCTGCCCCTCCTCCCCGTCATCTCCTCCCGTGCTGAAAGTGAGACACACGTGGCCGACCTGAGCTGCAGCCCGCTGCCCCCCAGAGAGGAATCTGCCTGAGTCGCTCATCTGTGCTGTGCGGGGATTTGCATAGCTCAGCTATGGAGGCTCTGCAGCCAGCCCTGCGGGTTTAACTGGCAGCCCGTTTGCTCTCGATGAGCGTGAGTCTCTGGCAGCCGCTGGCAGTGCGTGCTGAAAGTGAGACACACGTGGCCGACCTGAGCTGCAGCCCGCTGCCCCCCAGAGAGGAATCTGCCTGAGTCGCTCATCTGTGCTGTGCGGGGATTTGCATAGCTCAGCTATGGAGGCTCTGCAGCCAGCCCTGCGGGTTTAACTGGCAGCCCGTTTGCTCTCGATGAGCGTGAGTCTCTGGCAGCCGCTGGCAGTGCCCCAGGGCAGGTGCAGAGATTTCAAATGGACCCACTTGGGGATTCCTGCAGTGCTGTGGTGCCACAGAGCCCTGGAGTGTGGCCGGAGATGGGGAGGGCTGGGATTGGGGCTGGCTGGGTTCACACTCTGGGGATTGGGGCTGGATTGAGCAGAGTAGACAGAGAGCCTGATTCCAGGGCTCCATTCCTATGCTCAGTGCAGGGAAGGGGAAGGACCCGTCCATATCCTGGGGTCATTTGGAGTGGCCTCCTCTGCTGTAACTTAGAGCACTCAGGGCTGCTCTCCTTTGCACTAGGGCTGCCTAGAAGTCGTGAGATGCAGAGAACAATTGAAATGCAGCACCTGTGGCCAGCCCTCCCTCACAAGTCTCAGCCAGGCTGTGCCCTGAGGCAGCAGTGAGGGGCTGCGTAGAGCCGCTCTAGCAGTTGACCCTCCGACAGGGGTAATTCCCATTGCTAGCCCCACTTCCTAGCCAGCGCCATGGCACTACAGTTTGCTGAGTCAGTCACAGTGAGGACGAGCCATGGAGCGGGGAAAGGCAGGGGTAAGAGATGGTCTGAAAGAACTCCCCAGCGTGGGCGTATGGGGGAGAAGGTTCTTTAGCAAGAGAGAGATTCAGATAGACAACACTGACAGCGCTCTCAGAAGGCCAGGAGGCAGCTGTATCTGGATCTCCTCAATGGGAACAGTCACTCCCTAGTGGTGATCAGTTTTATGTCCTTAGCTTGCCTAGTGCTCAGTCCTGGGAGCAAAGGTCTATGCCTGCTGCCGTGCAGTTTGATCTCACTTCAGGCTCACAGCTCAACACACAGTTTTTACAAGAAATTATGTTTACACTTCAGAACTTTAACTGAGTGAAACAAAATTCAGTGACCAAAAAACTAAAGGGAAGACAAACACAGTATCGTCCCAGCTTTGTTAACTCCCTTTGACATCCAGCCGTGAGGTACCACTGTGTCAGTGACAGGCCCATCTCTGAGGTAGGGCTGCGTCCAGTGGCACACCCACCTTGAGATACCCCTGCGCCAAGTGACACACCCACCCCATAGGTACCGCTGTGTCCAGTGACAGACCTGAGAAACCGCTGCGTCCAGTGACACACACACCCAACCCCGAGGTACCGTGTCCAGTAACAGACACACCCAACCCCGAGGAACTGCTGCACCCAGCGACAGACACACCCAACCCTGAGGTACTGCTGCACCCAGTGACAGACACACCCAACCCTGAGGTACTGCTGCACCCAGTGACAGACACACCCAACCCTGAGGTACTGCTGCACCCAGTGACAGACACACCCAACCCTGAGGTACTGCTGCACCCAGTGACAGACACACCCAACCCTGAGGTACTGCTGCACCCAGTGACAGACACACCCAACCCTGAGGTACTGCTGCACCCAGTGACAGACACACCCAACCCTGAGGTACTGCTGCACCCAGTGACAGACACACCCAACCCTGAGGTACTGCTGCACCCAGTGACAGACACACCCAACCCTGAGGTACTGCTGCACCCAGTGACAGACACACCCAACCCTGAGGTACTGCTGCACCCAGTGACAGACACACCCAACCCTGAGGTACTGCTGCACCCAGTGACAGACACACCCAACCCTGAGGTACTGCTGCACCCAGTGACAGACACACCCAACCCTGAGGTACTGCTGCACCCAGTGACAGACACACCCAACCCTGAGGTACTGCTGCACCCAGTGACAGACACACCCAACCCTGAGGTACTGCTGCACCCAGTGACAGACACACCCAACCCTGAGGTACTGCTGCACCCAGTGACAGACACACCCAACCCTGAGGTACTGCTGCACCCAGTGACAGACACACCCAACCCTGAGGTACTGCTGCACCCAGTGACAGACACACCCAACCCTGAGGTACTGCTGCACCCAGTGACAGACACACCCAAACCTGAGGTACCGTGTCCAGTAACAGACACACCCAACCCCGAGGAACTGCTGCACCCAGCGACAGACACACCCAACCCTGAGGTACCGCTGCATCCAGTGACAGACACACCCAAACCTGATCAAACCAGAGGTACTGCTGCACCCAGTGACAGACACACCCAAACCTGAGGTACCGCTGCACCCAGTGACAGACACACCCAAACCTGAGGTACCGCTGCATTCAGTGACAAACACACCCAAACCTGAGGCACCGCTGCATCCAGTGACAGACATACCCAAACCTGAGGTACTGCTGCATTCAGTGACAAACACACCCAAACCTGAAGTACCGCAGCACCCAGTGACAGACACACCCAACCCTCAGGTACTGCTGCACCCAGTGACAAACACACCCAAACCTGAAGTACCGCAGCACCCAGTGACAGACACACCCAACCCTCAGGTACTGCTGCACCCAGTGACAAACACACCCAAACCTGAAGTACCGCAGCACCCAGTGACAGACACACCCAACCCTCAGGTACTGCTGCACCCAGTGACAAACACACCCAAACCTGAAGTACCGCAGCACCCAGTGACAGACACACCCAACCCTCAGGTACTGCTGCACCCAGTGACAAACACACCCAAACCTGAAGTACCGCAGCACCCAGTGACAGACACACCCAACCCTCAGGTACTGCTGCACCCAGTGACAAACACACCCAAACCTGAAGTACCGCAGCACCCAGTGACAGACACACCCAACCCTCAGGTACTGCTGCACCCAGTGACAAACACACCCAAACCTGAAGTACCGCAGCACCCAGTGACAGACACACCCAACCCTCAGGTACTGCTGCACCCAGTGACAAACACACCCAAACCTGAAGTACCGCAGCACCCAGTGACAGACACACCCAACCCTCAGGTACTGCTGCACCCAGTGACAAACACACCCAAACCTGAAGTACCGCAGCACCCAGTGACAGACACACCCAACCCTCAGGTACTGCTGCACCCAGTGACAAACACACCCAAACCTGAAGTACCGCAGCACCCAGTGACAGACACACCCAACCCTCAGGTACTGCTGCACCCAGTGACAAACACACCCAAACCTGAAGTACCGCAGCACCCAGTGACAGACACACCCAACCCTCAGGTACTGCTGCACCCAGTGACAAACACACCCAAACCTGAGGTACTGCTGCACCCAGTAACAGAAACACCCAAACCTAAGGTACTGTGTCCAGTAACAGACACACCCAAACCTGAGGCCCCGCTGCATCCAGTGACAGACACACCCAACCCTGAGGTACTGTGTCCAGTAACAGACACACCCAAACCTGAGGCCCCGCTGCATCCAGTGACAGACACACCCAACCCTGAGGTACTGTGTCCAGTAACAGACACACCCAAACCTGAGGCCCCGCTGCATCCAGTGACAGACACACCCAACCCTGAGGTACTGTGTCCAG